CAGCCGTGGTGAGGTGTCCGGCTCGGGGCTCCTCGAGGAAGTCCGAGAAGCAGGAAAGCTGCTTTGAGGGATTATATTGTGAAAAGCAAGGTCTTGGGGAAAGAGGATTGAAAGGAAATGGGTGTGAATTACAACGTAAATGCCTTCGTGTCTTCCAGAGAGCTGCTGCAGCCTTTCCCTCCTCGTTCCTTCCCCTCTTTTTTCGCTTGCAGGAAGCGTGTGAAAGGTCTGCTGGAAGGCAACAGTAGGTAGAAAATTGTTTCTTTACTTGTATTTTCAGTAGGAACTTCACACAGCACCGTGTAGCAAGAAGTTTAATAAAGGTTGATCCCCTCCCAAGCCTCCAGGCGTGCCGGAGCAGACGAAACTTCCATTACGCTGGTGATCATGCAGGCAGCTGCCCATGCTGGCACATCCCGGGACGTCTGCCAGTGGAACTGCCACAGCAGGCGACAGTCGTCTGCTCTGCCGCAGTCAGCAGACGCGGCTATGAGACGTTTTGTGTGCGGTCCCGGGAGCGGAGGCTGGAGTGTGCGCTGCCGTAGGACACCCCGTTGTGCTCTCCCTGCATCTGCCTGGTGTGTTTTCTGGCACAGAGCTAACTGTGAAATATTTTTTCGTCAGCTGAAACAGTCTAAATGTCTTCTCACAGTTTTTCTGATGCTCTGGGGTGAGGGAAGCTTAATCCTATGAGACGTTTTGTGTGCGGTCCCGGGAGCGGAGGCTGGAGTGTGCGCTGCCGTAGGACACCCCGTTGTGCTCTCCCTGCATCTGCCTGGTGTGTTTTCTGGCACAGAGCTAACTGTGAAATATTTTTTCGTCAGCTGAAACAGTCTAAATGTCTTCTCACAGTTTTTCTGATGCTCTGGGGTGAGGGAAGCTTAATCCTTTTCTTGGGAGGCTGAGTGGCTTCAGCCAGGTCTGTTCTGATCAGCTGCGCTGCCAGCAGCGCGGGGCCAACCCCAGCTCACCTCTCTGCTTCCCCTCGGCTGCGTTGCTGTGGCTGTGCTGGGCTTCGCGGAGGAGCCCGGCGGCGATGCCCTGCAGATCCCCCTGCCCAGCCCGGCAGTGAGCTGGGGTCCCCCTGCCCCGGAAGCCCCTGGGGTCGCTTCTCTTCCATCCCCGCGTGGGTGGGAAGGCAGCCAGCGAGCAGCCGGCGTGGGTTGCAGCGGTGCAGCCCTGGGAGGGAGATGCTGAAGGCAAACGAGCGCTGTGGGCACAGGAGCACCCACCGAGCACCCAGCAGCCTGGGGGCAGGCGCTGTGCAGCCCCGTCGAGCCTCGGCCCTGGAGAGTGGTCCTGGTCCGTGTGTGTGTCTGAGTCTTCCTCCGCCCAGCG